GCTCACTGCCTTGCCGGGGTGCCGTGGTAGCCCCCAGGCCAAGTACTCCGCAGAGCGAGGATCTCAGGGGCCTCCTCCCCCGATTTCTCCAACAACGTTTCACGAGGGTATTTCTCCAACAAGTCATAGTTGTCCAGGTAGACCCTCCAGACAGTTTGGCCATCCGGCAAAACTCTGTCTTTGCGAATCTCGCACCTCTCTGTGTTGCGACTTGAATTGTGCTGCTGAAATCGTAGGACCAGTGTACGGTGTACATGTTGCGCGATCCCTACGCTGTTGAGGAAACCCATCGGCAACACTTTTGAACAGGGATAGCACACCTCACCCCGCATCTCTGGTGGCACCAGAGCGGCTGGAAGCGGTTTGTTGAAGCACAAATACGGGTACCATGGGGTAACGTTTGTATGTCTCCCGCCATCCCTTGGCACAGCTCGTTGAGTGGCACCAGATTCATGATGAGGCGGTAGACAGGTACTCCCTGGGCTTCTTCATGTTTTTCAACCCTAAAAAGCCCGTTGAGCAATAGTTTGGAGTTCACCCGGAAGACTTCCGACTCAGGCACCATCCCAAATACCCCTGCTTCAAGCAAACCTTGCGCTACTCCAAACCAGTCAGCGTCCTTAACCATAACCCGGGCCTTCCGCACAGGGCCCCACTCACTGGGCGGCTTCAAGAAGGATGGGAAATTCTCAACATAGTGTTTGCATCCTAGCTCACAGATATCTACCAACTGTGCCACCCCAATCTTCTTGGGCAGCGCCGGCCTAATGTTGTCCCAACAAAATGTCAAGGCCGTCTTCACCTCATCCCTCTTGTAGTCGATCGTACGGGTCCGGAAAAAGTCCCCCCAATCAAACGCCTCGGTCACCTCGCTAATGTCCTTGAGCCTAGTCACTTCGGCTGCCAAACCCCGGACAATCCGGGCCTGCATTTCTGAAACTGCTGATGCACCTTCTCCTTGTCCATGTTCCTGGGACACGGGTTGTGAACACCCCCATAACGAATTCAAAGCGATGCAAATTGCACAAAGCCAATCAACTGTCCATGCGTCTTCACTTAACACGATTGGGGCCACGAGCTCACGACGGGTCGGAAGAGGAAAAGTGCCAGACGGAGGTGATTCTTCCCCTCTTGGTTTTCCCCCCCCCCTAAACCTGGCTGCAGAGCGATATAGACCCTCGTAGGCTCTGCCCCAAAGTCAACCCCATTTCCCAAAGCTGCATGCCCATCACTCCTTTTTTCGAACCCTCACGGTCTGAGGGCTTGCGCCCCGCTTTCATCAGGGATTGGTCCGGCTGTGACGGATGACTGTACCCCGTCAGCCCAACTGGCATCCCTTTGGGAAAATCGCTCCAAACTCCCGGTGGGTATGATTCATCCACCTCTGTTTGATACAGGGCTCGGGTCCCCGTTCTCGTCGTGCCATCGCGCAGCTCTTCCAGCTTTCCTCCAGCACGCGTCTGCTCCTTGAAATGAGCACCACATGCAGTCATAGCTTCTGTTCCATATGCAGGTGGGCTTGTGCCCCTGCGCTTAACCAATGCAATGTCAGGGTGATCCAGCCCCGTCTTGCTGTCATCTCTGTCCATGGCCTCCGTCTCAGTCTCACCAGGGTGTTCCAACCCCGTCATAAAGCCTCGCTCACCAGCAGCCGCTAGTCTTTCTTCGGCTTTTCGTTTCCCTTTTTTCCTTTTCCTTTCCCCTTGTCGCTCTTCTCTCCTTCGCTGTTGTCCTTTCCACTGCCCTTCACCCACCAAGACCCGGTTTGGTGGGCCTGTGCTTCCGCCTTCTGCTCGGTCGCCGCAATCTTCAACTCCTGCCTCGAGGATAATGTTGCTGTATCGCTCGGGAGGATTTCCAGGCGCTGTGCTGATGTCCATGGCATGCCACCGGCCTGCGCTTCCAACGACTTCACTCGCTGGATCAGGGTGTCCATGGCGTCCGGCAGAAGGCCCCGGATCACCAAATCGGCCACCGTGCATAGCGTCAGCAGTTCCCGGCTCATCGGTCCAGAAACCCGGCGGCTGAGCATCTGGCGGTAATACCGCAGGAGTGTGGGCGCCCAGCCCTCTTGCTGACTCGTTTGATGGCCACCCTCCGTGAGCATGAGCTCCTGCATGTCCTCGATTGCCTGCGCAGACAACACTCCAGGGAAGTTCAGGGCCACTCCACGCACGCGCTGATGTTCCCCGAATATGGTTTGCCCCTTGAACCCGGCACCATCTCCACTTGTGCTGCTCTTGCTGTCGGCCTTCTTCGATCGGCTCCTCTGGGCATACCTCTGCGCCTTCCGGCGTTGGCGGTTCCGGAGACATCCTCTTCTGATCGACGGGTGTGTAGGCTGTCGAAGAGCTCGTGCTGGACGATGAACTGCTCCTCACAGGGTCCTTCACCCCGTCCCCATCGGCTGCTTTCTTGTCCTTCTCTCCTCCTCTTCTTTTCGAGCGGCTCGAGTGACTTCGCCTTCTCTTCTTGCTGTCCGGCGAACTTGATCTTCTCCGCCGCTTTCGACGCTTTTTCTTCTTGTCCTTTTTCTTGTCCTTCTCCTTGTTGTCCTCCTTGTTGATCTTGCTGGCAGCGGCTCGTCCGTCTCCTGGATCTTCCGGCAGAGCATCCACGCGTCCTCGAAGCCCCGCCAGTTCGTCCCGACCTGCGCCGACGAGCACGTCCCGCCATGGGTGCCCCTCCAGGTCCTCCAGTGACCCGATGGCACGATACTTCTTGCAGTGGATGAGACCAGGTCCCACTGCTTCTTGACTGCGCTCGCTGGGGCACAAGTGTACCCTGGCGTGATGAGTAGTGCCCGTTGCCCACGTCAGCAAACTCTCTAAGTTTGTACCGAGGAGCTTCAGGACGATGTACTGCCCGGATGCGTCCCTGACAACTTCTATGACCCGTCCGCTGAACTGACAGGGAGTGCTGTAGTATACCCCCTCTTCTCCATGAATCAGGGGTCCAATCACTGGCTCCCCGCCGCCTACGGGTCCCCTGCCCCGATCTTCCTCGCCTCTCTCGTGCACTGCTGCTGGTCGGAGTGGAGGTCGTAGTCGGGGGACCCCTGCTGGTCGCCTGATCACCTTCGGTGCCATGGCTTTCCTTTCGATGGCCGGCCTTTGCCGCCCTTTCCTTTACCTTTCGACTGGCGTTCTTGCCCTCGGTAAACGTGTGCCCAGCCTTTCCACCGCTTGAGCGGGGCAGGGTCTCTTGCACGATACCCCGGAGGGGAGACCGATGGTGTCCGTGGCCTCCTTGGCAATGGCTTCCTGCTCGATGGCTTCGCTGTCTGCCGCAGCTCGAACTTCTGTGGGTTCCTGATGACTTCGTCGTCCTGACTGCCACCTTTGTCCTCTTCCTCTTCTCCTTCCTCTTCGAACTCCTCTTCAACCTCGAGGCCGATACCAACTGCTACGGCTTGATCCTCGACCACGACAGGGCTTGGACTTCCCCGTGATTGCTTCTTTTCACGCCTCCGGCTGCGAGAACGTCGCCTCCGTCGATGCCTTGAAGTCGAACGAGTGGGTGTTGGCTTTTTGCCTTTACCTGTCTCGTCGCTCTCCTCCTTCACTGCCGTAGATGGTCCTGCTGTAGGGCTGGCTTTTCCAGGGTGAACCCCCGATGCCACAGCCGCCTTTGAAGCACTGTCCACCTCCCGCTTCTCGGTGACCTTCGGACTCTTCTTGTCCTGGATGAGGAAACCTCGTGAGTCGACAATGCCAGCGGTTCGATCCGACTCGAAGGCTCCAATGTCGTGAGGACCTTGGCCAGGTAGGATGTCAGTTCCCTGGCTTTGGAGGTCGGATACCGAGTTGCCACAACCTGCTTTACCTTGCCGCTCAGGTAGCAGGGATCGCACGATCCGGATGTCCCCACCGGCAATTCGAGGCGGCTATGGCAGTCCCTACAGGTCATCTAAAGCCGAAACACTACAGAATAAGACCGAATCGGTGCGTTATTCTTTAATCCCGGGGGCGGGAGACCATATATAAATGATAGAACTGGCGGCATGTAGATCAGTGCCTCGCAATGCACATTGACGAATCTCTGGCTGCACAATTCCAAGGTGTGCTTGATCAAGTTTTGTACAATAAAGTCCTGAAAGGAACATATACAAGCTAATCCTCCAACACCTTTTGGGCAACCACACTTGGACAAGGGCTTGTGTCTAGTCTCGTGTAAGCCACGTAGTGTACCATCGGGCCTACTCCAAGGTCAAACCTTGAGCATGTTCAAAAGCTGAAAACATCGGTTTGCAAGCTACTCCCAACTCAGATTCCTCGGGCATGCTCGTCTCGACATTTAATGGGGTGCACTCGAGCTTCTTGCTGATTCTACCTAGATGGTAGTCAAGTGGGTCAGACTGGATATGAAGCCACTCAGCTCTTGCATCTAATGGGATTGCGGGGGCTATACGCTCTACATGTGTCTCTCTGCGGTGAAAGCTGAAAGGCTTCGTTCAGCACCTGACGAGTAAAAGTAGCGTCCTTGCTCCTAGTAGCGATGCCCTTTGTTCCTAGTAGCTTCTTGCTCCTAGTAGCAATGCCAGGAGCTACTAATAGCGTCGTTGTTCCTAGATCGAATCTACACGCCTCCAATCGAATTTCTAGAGGCTTCGATCTGCAGTCAAGGCGCTGCAGTGAGCGGGCAAAGAGGCACCGGCCCCATGGTTTCGCTGCCAGGAAACTTCATTTTGTTAGTTCGTTGTTAGGAAAAGTATGGTAAAAACTGGTTGAAGGTATAGACCTTCCACTGCCGCATACCTTCCCACGTTTCTCAAGAAAACCCAAAGGCATTGAGTTCTGTTCCAAGTCTTCAAGTTCTAAGATGCCTGGACGGTGCTACCGAAGGCCAGGTACAAAATCTACGCTCGCATCTCTGCTTGGGCTCTTTGGAGCAGCTTGTCCATGTATCACATTTAGTGAGAGCGGGTGCATGAAAAGGACTCACAAATCTGTAATGGTCAAACGTGACAATGCAAAGCTTTTGATTTACAGCTTCGCTATTCCCCAGGAATACACTTTTCAAGAATCGTGGAAAGATCGAACATGTCAGGTAAAACTTGGAGACTCTTGGCCTCCTGGTTGGAGAATCTCATTCAACCCTCCAGAGGAAAACTGCCTGAAACGGAGCATTGCACCTGCACTGGTGTCGGACTTGTAAACTTCTGACGAGCAAGTCCTGACCCATTCGCCCAGCCATCTAGTGGATATAGGGCGCGGACCTTTACCAAAAACTCCGAAAGGTGATTACCAAAGGCCAAACAACACAACCTATGAATCTAATCTGTGAAGTAGCTCATTCTATGTTCTTAGGTACTTGACAAGTCATTCTCGTATCATCCGAGACATGTAGCCTGACATGTTGAGACCAGTGCTTGACCAGCAAAGCGGAAGTCTTGAGATCCTGTGAGGCCAAACAAATAAATACATGTCAGCCAGCCAGTGCTAAATGACGCTCACGCAAAATCGCTGACACATCGACACTGCCCAAACTATCAAAGCTAACACAAAGGAACAAAGCAATCAATGTGGCATTGCCTGACACCTCCAGGCACATGAACAAGTCTATACCTATTTATATAAACATTATTCAAGAGTAATTAAGCCGTCAAGTCAACCTGCACAGCAGCTGTGAAGTGGCGCAAACCGTTGGGAATCTTGCTGAGAAATGTGATCCCAAAGCACAGCACCGGCCCAGCCTACCATCAACTTGGGATGCAACTCGAACTGCGAAGCGATAAACTATTGAAGCGGGTCACAAAGCCAACTGATGCAAGAACCTTCCAGGTCACACGCTACCCCCTGCCTCGGGGACCCTTATCAATATACACTTGCCAAATTCATGCTGCACAAAAAATACCTCTCCCACCAACATGTTGGGTAAACGGGGGGGGTTAGCCCCGAACGCAACACACCGAGGGTGAAAAACCCTGTGTTTTACAGGGTTTCGTGGCTTTCCGGACACTCAACCTATCGTCTTGCAACTCATGAGTTGCAAGACGATAAGTTGAGTGCGTTTTGACGGACCCAACCCACCCGCCTGCTCCATGTACAGCTTGCCAAGGTTCACTTTCCAGCCGCCAGACATCAGTCTTGTTCCCAATTGAGCCATTTGAGCTCACTGTGCACTTAAGCTGGCGGCCAAGTGTCTTGCACAGCTTCTCTATGTATTCTGACAGCCTCGAGCACTGAGTCCAACCCTGGATGTTGGCGGAACCACAACGCTGCGAGGCCTTCAACGTGCTGTTGTTGCAGCTTTGCATCGCAACGGCCAAGAAAACCCATTCTACGCAGTGTTAAAACACACCTCGAAGTCGACCCCGTCATGTCCTCTAAGCCAAGAAAAGCGGTCACCGAGCGAACGAAAGGTCACCGAGCCGACAAGTCAACGTCAAGTCGATGTACGCGAGTAGTAACACGGACGAAACTGACCCCAACCCCCCCAACCCCCCACCTTGAAAGACCAGTCAACGGATCGGATATGTGTTGCCGGTGGGGCTAACCCCCCGCGATGGCACAACATGTTGCACCGGTTCTTGCTGACTGACTCTTCCAGTTTGCTGAGCCGTTGCAGTTTTGTTCAGTCAGATGCAGGCAACGTGCATGTGCTTCAACAGACTGGAGAGAGAGAGAGAGAGAGTTTTCTTCAAGTGGGCAAAGGCAGAAATAGCATCTGGTAAAACAACTCTATCTACGGAGCTGGCTTCAAGAGAAGCAGTAGTTTTACTTTTTTGTAGGTACAAGGCATTGCAGGAATCCTGCATGGTTGCGTGTATACATAAATACTGTCTGTATCGCGCTTTCACAAGTAGGTGCCCCCCCAAGAGGGCTGATGCAAAAAAGAGAGCAGCCTTCAGCCAACGCAATGTGTCTGCATTGGTCCTGTTGAAATTACGCCCACACCGAAGGTGCTGAGGCGTTGTCTCAGTTCGCGTAAACCGCTATAATTGCTAGATCGCTCATTACACTTTAGCTTGGGGGGGAAGGTTTTTGATGAACTACACCGACATAGATAGGCCCCAGATAGCGGGTGTATAGGTTTAACAGATACGCCACGGACGGCTGTCACCGCAGCGCGCAACATCAAACCAGTCCACCAGTATGCGCAACATCTAAATAATTATCGGCTGAATGCGCCCGCTTTGCCCAACACAGACGTAAAACTGAAAGATCGGCAAGGACCAGCCAAAGCTGCCAAGACATGATGATCATTGCTGCTCAACACGGTGTCATGTACAACATGACAGCATGTCACCCCTGGCATGACATGATGTCGTCCCTGGCAACACATGACGTCATACCTGGCATTCTAGGCATGGCGTGATGTCAACTCAGCCATGACACGCTGTCATCCTCGACATGACATGATGTCATCCCTGGCACGACCCCATCTCATCATGGTGTCATCCCTGGCGTGACACGATGTCATCCTTGGCATGATGTGATGTCATCCCTGGCACGACGCAAAACCAAACGCCGATCCAGAGCCAGCGCCTGCACCAGCACGGCACCAGCACCAGCAAAACAAATCGCCAATCCAGCGCCAGCGTCAGCGCGGCAGCAGCGCCAGCAAACCAAAACGCCCATCCGGAGCCAGCACGGCAGCAGCACCTTGAAAACCAAAACGCCGATCCAGAGCCAGCACCTGCAAAACCAAAACGCCGATCCAGAGCCAGCACCTGCACCTGCATCATCACGGCAGCAGCACCCGCAAAAAAACAAAACGCCGAGACCCAGAGCCACACTATTGAGAAGTTGGAACCCCTATAGCCTGCAGCTATCTGGTGAAAAACGAGCAAATCATTGGCGATGTTAGTTGCGCTGCCCGAGTGAGAATGCACTATTGACATCACGTGCGCTTGCCCTGTAGCTTTCTGAATGATAAACGAGAAAACTGTTGATAATGTTAGTCACGCTGCCTGAATTGCATTGCATTATTGAAAGCGTGCGCGCGTTTGCACTGATTGAGTACAAAACGCCCTAAGACGCAACGTCGGGTAATAGGGGGATGCATCCATCACCAAGTTGCTTGTCGTGGGGTGTGTTTTTGGTGTCTAAAGACTATGTTTTTGTCAAATAGTAAGAGCTACCAAGATTGTGAAATTTCGCCGCTTCGGAACCTTTTGGCTTTCCCGGCTCAAGTGCTTTCCGTGCGGGCGAAGAGCGAAGTGGTGTGAATATATGTCTTCACATACAGTGAAAGAGCTATTACCTAACAAAGCACAATCTCAGTGGATCTGATCACTTGATGGCAAGGCGCGCTTCTATCCGAAGAGGATTTGTATTTTTTGAGGGAAATGTCTTCTCAGGCCACGTGGGTGAAACTAAGCAAGCAGGGCCTGTGTTTGGCAAAGTTATATGCACATAACCAGCCAAGGTCTGCTTCTTGTTGGCAGTGATGAAGTTCGGAGACTTACTCCAATGTTTGGACAAGCCGATCGAGCTGAGTATCTCTTGTCTCGAAGCACAAGGCTGTGTCGAACAAAGCGCTTCAACTGTCTCCGAACCTGATCCAAGGTTTGGGCACTGCTGAACTTCTTTGTTTTTTCCCCAGATAGCTGGAAGCTATAGGGGTTCTAACTTCTCAATGGATGGGTTGGGGATTGCGGAAATTGGCTGCCGCTGCCGCCTTGTTTCCCAAGCTTGTCTCCCTTCACGATTTCGCTTTTGGCTGCCGCTGCCGCCTTGTCTCTCAAGCTTGTCTCCCTTCATAACTTCGCTCTTGGCTGCTGCTGCCGGCTTGTCTCCCAAGCTTGTCTCCCTTCATCATTTCGCTCTTGGCTGCCGCTGCCGGCTTGTCTCCCAAGCTTGTCTCCATTCATGATTTCGCTTTTGGCTGCCGCTGCCGCCTTGTCTCCCAAGCTTGTCTCCCTTCCTGATTTCGCTCTTGGCTGCCGCTGCCGCCGTGTTTCCCAAGCTTGTCTCTGTTCCTGATTTCGCTCTTGGCTGCCGCTGCCACCTTGTCATTTTCTTGCCTGCCTTTGACGCGGATGCTGTTATAAGATGAGTTTTGTCTTGTTTACCCTTTTCATCCTTTTCCTGGCTTTGAGTGGGATGTCTCCCAAGCTTGTCTCCCGCTCACGCCATGGTGTCCAACTTTTCTTGAAGTGCTATCTGGGGTCTATGCCGGTATTATTTTTTTAAGGGAGGGGTAGCTAGAAGCTAGGTAGCTAGTAGCTTAAGCAGCTACTGCAGGATAGCTCACACACTATACAATTGGTTCCAAGATATTTTCTTTCCTACAACTACATCAATACATCATTTGCCAACGCAGTGTGCATGTCGCATCATCCAGGATGCGCTTCGAATCGAGCGTCATTATCCCGCCCCACAACCCCCCCACCCCAAAATCCCCCATCTTCCAACGTGTTTGCGTACTTGTAGCATTATCTTGGAGATAGACCACCCCGAAAGAAATCTCCACCCGAAGCCATGCGCTGATTACCCACTCCCACAACACAGCATTGTCGGACAATGCTCCTGGGATGCCAAAGAAGTTCATAATTGCTTCAAAAGATTTGACACAACGTCATAATTGCTTGCGCCAACTCAATGCAATTAGCCCCCGCCCAACCCCAGCCGCAACGCAGTCAATCACCCGATGGCAACGCAACCGAAACCTTCGGGAGTTTTCCAATCAAACCATGATTTGTCATCCTACCATCTGGTGACTAACAGCACAAGTAGCTCAAACAGCAGGTTTTCAAGGCAATCTCATTTTGGAATAGGCCTTTGCCGCCTGGATCTGAGTGTGTTTGTAGATCTTCTAAGCCAGGAAAGACTTTGGGGGGGGTATCTGTTGGGCAGTGTGGCTTGATATCATCGCCTGGGCCTGGGCTTTGGAACATTACAAAAAAGTTTGCAACCCTCTTCCAAACTCTTCGTATACCACAAGTCAAAGCTGGGAAAAGGCTTGATTCAGGGTAGCATGTTCCTTTCCTTTGGTCCACTTTCCCACAGAAGACCTTTGGTCAGGATTTGCCTGGGCCCACGCAGAGAGCTCTGTAGATGCCAGCTCCTGCAAATTCAACAGTGACAATGAGACAGACCGATTTTGCCTATCAGCCCGTATCTCGCGCAAACAAAGTGTCTATATAAATATATATATATATATATACATATGCGCAATGATTTGAACCCAAATGCTGCAGATGCATTTCCACAGGCAGTCTCATAGCAGGACAGAAAACGACACCACCGTAGGCCCAAACAGTTTGTGTTTTTCAATATCGGAACACTCTGCAACTAGAGTTTGCGACGTCCAGAGCTGGGAGGCAAAGGATTGCAAGGCAGAGGCGGCCGCAGCAGTCCAGAGCTGGGAGACAAATGTAGACACAGGGAGACAAATGACAATGTAAAGGATTGCAAGCGAAAGTCTAGAGCTGGAAGACAAACGCAGGGCAGATGTAAAGGATTGCAAGGGAGAGGCGGACACAGCAGTCAGAGCTGGGAGACACATGTAAAACTAAGGATTGCAAGGCAGAGGCGGACGCAGCCCAGCGCTGCGAGACAAATGTAAAGGATTGCAAGGCAAAGGCGGACACAGCAGCCCAGAGCTGGGAGACAAATGTAAAGGATTGCAAGGCACAGCAGTCCGGAGCTGGGAGACAAATGTAGACACAGGGAGACAAATTACACCACCGTAGACCCCAAACAGTTAGTGTTTTTCAAAATCGGCATACTCTGCAACTAGAGTTTGCAACGTCCAGAGCTGGGAGACAAAGGATTGCAAGGCAGAGGCGGCCACAGCAGTCCAGAGCTGGGAGACAAACGCAGGCTGGGCGCTTGTGGTCCTGGCTTGTCTCCCACTTCCTTTCATTTGTTTCCCACTTCTTTTCACTTGTCTCCCAATTCTTTTTCCCGGTCGGCGGTGTCCGCCCTTTTGCGTTGGCCACGCCGGGAACCCGACCACAAGCACCCAGCCTGGGAAACGAATGAAAGAAATTGGAAGACAAATTACACCGCCGTAGACCCCAAATTGTGCTTTTCAAATCGAAACTAGAGCTTGCGACGTCCAGAGCTGGGAGACAAAGGATTGCGTACAGAGCGGGCGGACACATCTTAAGAAAGAATTGACAAGCCCCAACAGCAAACCTTTTGGGGAATTATTCTTCATGACATGAAACTGGTTTTTGGTGCCTGACGTATGCCCTCCGTTCCAACTGAACAGAGAGATCGCTGCCACGCCGCCGAAATCCAATCCGGTCATTCATCCAACGCTTGCCCGAAAAGGAAAACAAAGCTGAGAGAGTTACACAGTGTGGCAGGAATGCAATCCCGGAGACAATCACGCACCCCTTTCAAAGGAGCAAGAACCTTTCACAGGTGAACCTGTTCCAGCGGACAGGGCGGAAAACACCAGTGCAGCAAAAAGAAAGAAATCACACGGGAGACAAATGAATAGAACTGCTACATGGCCAGCGGAAAAGAGCGGCAGCACCAGTCACAGAACCGGGAAACAAATGAATAGAAATGCTGGATGGCCAGCCGAAAAGGGCGGACACCAGCAGTGACAGACCTGGAAAACAAATGAATAGAACTGTTGCATCGCCAGCGGAAAAGGGCTGACACCAGCAGTGACAGACCTGGGAGACAAATGAATAGAAATGCTACATGGCCAACGGAAAAGGGCGGACACCAGCAGTAACGGATGTGGGAGACAAATGAATAGAAATGCTTCATGGCCAATAGACAAGGACACACCAGTGACAGACCTGGGAGACGAAAGAATAGAAATGCCAGCGGAAAAGGGCGGGCACCACCAGTGACAGGCCTGGGAGACACATGAATAGAAATGCTGCATGGCCAACGGACAAGGGCGGACACCAGCAGTGACAGACCTGGGAGATGAATAGACATGCTGCATGGCCAGCGGAAAAGGGCGGACACCAGTGACAGACCTGGGAGACAAACGAATAGAAATGTTGCATCGCCAGCGGAAAAGGGCGGACACCAGCAGTGACAGACCTGGGAGACAAATGAATAGAAATGCTAC